CACCGCCACCACCCCCGCCCCCTCCACCCCCTCCACCACCGCCACCCCCGCCGCCACCTCCGCCACCCTTGCCCCCCTTGCCCCTGCCGCCCTTGCGCCTCCCACTAGGAGCAGACGCAGCCCCGACCCCCTCAGCACCGAGGTAGTCGACAGCAGCAGCAGATGCAATGGAGGGGAGAAGGGGGGAGGGGGAACATCCCTCAAAGCTGTAGGTGCCTCTCGCCACGAGAGGCACCTACAGCTACAATACTAGTCTCAGCTGCAAGGAGTTCCTTCTCGAGCAGGTCGACAGTGAGGTCGGTGGGGGAGAGGGCGAGAAAGTGGTCCCTGACAGCGCGAAGAGAGTCAGTGAGGCAAGTGACTAGGTGGTAGATTGTGAGGTACATCGGGGGAGGGTTCTTGGCGAGGAAATCGGGGGGAAGCGCGGCACGGTAGTGGAGATCACTAGTACGGAGGTGAGTGATGAGGTCGGCTACAGTGGCAAAGGCAGACAGATCGGGGAAGAGATAGGGCAGCGAGAGACGGCCTATCGCAGCATTAGCAGGGGAGGAGTAGCGTGCAACTACAGCATCGTACAGCTCCTGAGCGGTCTTATGCTGGCCAAAATGCTCGCGCTCATCTAACGGCAGGTGGCTGCGAACGGCTAGGCGAGCGTGAGCGTCACGGGTCTGCCACTGTGAGCGAGCCGTACTGTCAGCAGTAGCAGTAGGTGCGGGAGTGGCGCCGGACGTGTGGTCAAACAGGGAAACATCGTCCTTGGCAGTGATCTGGAGGAACAGGTGCAGGTCATCGAGCCAAACGTCAAACTTAATCGGACGGCCCTCAGCGTCAAAAGTGAGAACGGTAGGACTGGCCATACTGGCAGTAGCAGTAGTAGGAACAGTAGTAACAGTAGCAGTAGTAGCAGTAGCAGTAACAGGAGCAGCAGCTACTGCAGGTGGTGCACAGTAGGGCGGTGCGGCTCGGTCAGGGCGGCGCGACTCGGGCAGGTTGGCGCGGCGCGGCTCGGGCAGGACGGCGCGGCGCGACTCGGGAGGGTGGGCCGGCGCGCGGTCTGCGGCTGTGCGAGGCGGCGGCCTACGTGCGGGCGGCGGCCTACGTACGGGCGGCGGTGTCAAACATTATATGTTTACATTGTGTAGGCTATAGTGGGTTTAGCCTTAGGGGGTACAACATTCTAGGGTTTCCTACTTGTACTCCCAATCTTGTTAGTTCACCCACACTTGTTCATTCTAACATGGTATCACGAGCCTAGGTTGCTACCTAGGACCGCTTTCTCCTACGGGCCCACTATTCCGCTAGAAGCGCCCTCGTGCGCCCTACCTTACGTGCGCCCTCATGCGCCTTTCTCTGCTCGTGCGCCCTCGTGCGCCCCTTTTCCTTTTTCTGCTAGTGCGCCCTCGCGCGCCCCGCCCTTCGGTCTGCCCGCGTGTCGTCCTGCAGCCCTCGCGCTGCCTCCTGCAAGCTAGTACGGCCCTCGAGCCGCCCCTGCAGGTCCGTCAGGCCCCCAAGCCGCCTCTGCAGACCCGTGAGGCCCCCGAGCCGCCTCTGCAGGCCCGTCAGGCCCGAGAGCCGCCCCTGCAGACCCGTCAGGCCCCCGAGCCACCTCTGCAGGCCCGGCAGGCCCGAGAGCCGCCTCTGCAGACCCGTCAGGCCCCCGAGCCGCCTCTGCAGGCCCGTCAGGCCCGAGAGCCACCCCTGCAGACCCGCCGCGCAGCCTCTGCCCGACCGCGCGCCGCCCCTGCAGGCTCTCGCCGCCCGCCACGTCGCCCTGCCCGCGGCGTCGCCGCCTGCCCGCGGCGTCGCCACCTGTCCGCGGCGTCGCCACCTGCCTGCGACGTCGCCACCTGCTCGCCGCGTCGCCCTGCCCGCGGCGTCGCCACCTGTCCGCGGCGTCACCACCTGCCCGCGGCGTCGTCACCTGCCCGCCGCGTTGCCCTGCCCGCGGCGTCGCCCCTGCCCGCCGCGTCGCTCTGCCCGCCGCGTACCACCTGCCCGCGGCGTCGCCGTCTCTCCGCCGTGTCGCCCTGCCCACGGCGTCGCCCCTGCCCGCCGCGTCGCCCTGCCCGGCGCGTCGCCCTGCCCGCCGCGTCGCCCCTGCCCGCGCGTCGCCCCTGCCCGCTGAGTCGCCCTGACCTAACCCGCGCCTGGCCTCTGGAGCAGCCGCCCCTGGCCCCTGGAGCAGCCGCCCCTGGCCACTGGAGCAGCCACCACTGCAGGAGCCGCCCCTCGCCCCTGGAGCAGCCGCCCCTGCAGCAGACGCCCCTGGCCACTGGAGCAGCCACCACTGCAGGAGCCGCCCCTCGCCCCTGGAGCAGCCGCCCCTGCAGCAGCCGCCCCTAGCCACTGGAGCAGCCGCCCCTGGAGCAGCTGCCACTGCAGGAGCCGCCCCTGGCCCCTGGAGCAGCCGCCCCTGGAGCAGCCGCCCCTGGAGCGGCCGCTGTGACGGCCCCGCAGTCGCCTCGCTCGTACGCCTGCCCTTCCCACCACTGGTGAGCACTGCCCTGCCCGTGCTGCTACTGCTGTTACTGCTGCTGCTACTGCTTCTACTGCTGCTCCTGGCGTGGCCAGATGCAGCTCCAGGGCTGTCCGCGTGAGCCCCTCACGCCCCAGCAGCTTCGTGAGTGGTACGCCAGTTGGGGTTGTCGGGGTGGCAGTAGTGGGAGTCGTCCTGGAGTGGGTAGTTCGGGAGTTTCTTGTAGTGGCTCTACGGGAGTTTCTCGCGTCGTCTACACGAGGCTCTTTCGCCCCAGCAGCTTCGCGAGTGGTACGCTCAGAGTAGAGGGTCACTGAGTACTGCTCGCTGCCCGTACGACATTCGCACAGGTGTCCGGACTGGTCAGCCTTGCGGGACACGTGGTCACACAGAGTCCTACTGCTTCGCCCGTCTGGGCGATGCTTGGCGTACAGAGTTTGGCGACGACGCTGAGCTCCCCGACTGGGTGGAGCTGCTTAGGCAGAGGGCAGATATCTATGCTCTTGACTATGATGCTATCCTCACTGCCATGTATGCATTGTCTACTAGTGCTGAGAGTGCCTGTCACCTGTGTGTGCCGCCTGACCCCGGTATCCAGTCTGCTGCTCTAGGTACTGGTGAGGCTGCTGCACTAGGTGCTCGTGTGTCTGGTGCCCCAGGTGCTGGTGAGGCTGCTGCTCTAGGTACTCATGAGTCTGCGCCCTCTGGTTCTGCGTCTACTGAGGCACTGCACACCTTCACACTGGACTCAGGCGCTTCCCGCTGTTTCTTTCGTGACCGCACTGCCCTTGAGCAGCTTGCTCGGCCGGTTGCAGTCTCCCTCGCTGACCCCTCTGGGGGTCCGGTCATTGCGACATTCTCTGCTATTCTCCCTTGTCCTGCGGTCCCGTCGGGCACACTGTCAGGTCTCTACCTCCCCTCGTTCTCTACGAACTTGGTGGCGGGTAGTGCGCTCCAGGACGGGGGTGTCCACCAGTTCACCCCTGCCTACGAGCGCGTGACACACTGCACGTGTGCTCGGACGGGCCATCACCTGGCTACCTTCACTCGGCAGCCGGGGTCGGACCTGTACACACTGACCACTGAGTCCCCTCAGGTAGCTGCGTCTGCGTCTGCTTCAGGTCAGCTGTCTGCCCCCTGCTCGTGTCGCTCTCTAGCACACGAGACCGTCCTCTGGCACCACCGCCTTGGTCACCCGTCAGTGCAGCGCCTTCGTGCCATGCACCAACGGTACCTTGTCTCTGGTCTTCCCCGGGTACTCCCTCCCCTCCCACCCTCGCCTGCTCCTCCCTGTCTTCCTTGTGTCGAGGGGCGGCAGCGCGCCGCTCCTCACTCCTTCTCGTTTCCCCCGACGTCTGCTCCCTTGCAGACGCTCCACATGGACGTGTGGGGCCCAGCCCGCGTCCGTGGACAGGGTCAGGAGAGGTACTTCCTGATCGTTGTTGAGGACTACTCGCGCTACACCACGGTCTTCCCCTTGCGCACCAAGGGTGAGGTCCCTGATGTTTTGATCCCTTGGATCCGCGCTTCTCGTCTCCAGCTCAGCGAGCGGTTCCACTCGGACTTTCCTGTCTTGCGTCTACACTCTGACAGAGGTGTTGAGTTCTCCTCCGACCTCTTGGCAGCCTACTGTGCGGAGCACAGCATCCGCCAGTCGTTCACGCTTCCGGCCTCTCCACAGCAGAATGGGGTTGCTGAGCGCCGCATTGGCTTGGTCATGGAGGTCGCTCGTACCTCCTTGATCCATGCGGCTGCCCCCCACTTTCTGTGGCCGTTTGCGGTCCGGTACGCTGCGCATCAGCTCAACCTCTGGCCCCGTGTCTCCTTGCCGGAGACCTCGCCCACACTGCTGTGGACGGGGGAGGTTGGCGATGCGTCGCGTTTCCGGGTCTGGGGATCTCGAGCTTTTGTCCGCGATACGTCCGCGGACAAGCTCTCCTCCCGCGCTGTTCCTTGTGTCTTCCTTGGCTTTGTCCCGGACGCGTCTGGTTGGCAGTTTTACCACGCCACCTCGCGCCGTGTCCTGCCCTCTCAAGACGTCACTTTTGACGAGTCGGTGCCCTACTACCGCCTCTTCCCCTACCGCACTGCCCCGCTCCCCCCCCCGCCTCTCTTCCTCGCGCCAGGTGCTGCTGTGGTAGACCCCCTCCCCCCTCAGGGTGCCGCTCCCTCAGGTGTGTCCCAAGTAGACCCGGTTGAGCCTGTCGAGGTAGCTGTCGACTCTCGTCCTGCTAGGGGTGCTGAGCCTGAGCGTGCGGAGCCTGGGGGTGCGGAGCCTGGGGGTGCGGAGCCTGGGGTTGCGGAGTCTGGGGGTGCTGAGCCTGGGGGTGCGGAGCCTGCGGGTGCTGAGTCTGGGGGTGCTGAGTCTGGAGGTGCTGAGCCTGGGAGTGCTACACCTGGAGGAGCTCTCTCCTCACAGCAGCTGCGTGAGTGGTACTTACAGTACTGCAGCCTCAGGAGAGGGGCTTCTGGATCTAGGAGTGCTGCTGGAGCTGGTGCTAGTACTTCTCCTCCTAGGCGGGAGCTGCCCTCTCCCCAGCGGCTCCGAGAGTGGTACGCTCGGCGCTGCAGTCTCCGGAGTGGCGCTCCTAGTGTCGCGGACCCTGGTGCTGGAGGTGCTGCTGCTGCTGGAGGTGCTGCTGGCGCTACTGGAGGTGCTGCTGGTGCTGGAGCTGCTGGAGGTGCTGCTGCTGGCAGTGCTGCTGGCGCTGCTGGAGGTGCTACTGGTGCTGGAGCTGCTGGAGCTGCTGGAGGTGCTGCTGCTGCTGGTGGTGCTGCTGGTGCTGCTGGAGCTGCTGGAGGTGCTGGTGCTGCTGACGCTGCTGGAGGTGCTGCTGGTGCTGGTGCCGCTGGAGCTGCTGGAGGTGCTGCTACTACTGGAGGTGCTGCTGGTGCTGCTGACGCTGCTGGAGGTGCTGCTGGCGCTGGTGCTGCTGCAGCTGCTGGAGGTGCTGCTACTACTGGAGGTGCTGCTGGCGCTGCTGGAGCTGCTGGAGGTGCTGCTGCTGCTGGCGGTGCTACTGGCGCTGCTGGAGGGGCTGCTGGTGCTGGTGCTGCTGGAGCTGCTGGAGCCGCTGGTCCTGGAGGTGCTCGTACTGGAGGTACTGGAGCTGCTGGGACTGGGCCTGCTGAGGGGGTTGGAGCTGGAGGTGCTGAGCGGCCGCGGCCATACTACGTTCCGCTCCTTCAGCAGGTTCTTGGTCTCCCGCCCTCTACTGGTCCTTCTCCTCCCCTACTGAGTCCACCGTCTGTCCAGTCGCAGTCACAGTTACAGTCTGCCTCTCCGCTGCCTGCCCCTTCTCCTTACACTGCGCCGACGGGTAGTCTTACTGAGCGTCGTGAGCCTGAGTCTCGTCCTCCGTCGCCTGAGTCTAGTCCTGCATCTCGTGAGCCTCGTCCAGAGTCGCCTGTCCGCGCTGCCCGCACTCGTCGTCGTGTTCCGCGTGAGCGTCCTCCTCCTGTCCTTGGCACTCACTATATGACCCTGCGTCATTCCACTGCTCCGCAGCGTGTCCCTCTGCCGTCTCCTCCTGCGTCCTCTCTTCCTGACGTTGCTGACCCGCCGTCAGACCTTACTCGTGCTGCTAGTCCTACTGTCGCGCGTCTCCTTGCCACTGTTGTCACTGACCCTACCTTTGAGTCCTCTGTTGCGTCTGCTCTAGTCGCTGAGCTTGTGGACTTTGCTGCCGCCTGTCGTCTAGACTACGCCGCTAGCCTTGTTGCTGAGTCTGAGTCTGTCTGTCCTCCGTCCGTCGGGGGTGAGTGTGCTCTTGGCACGGACGTCCTTGAGGACAGACAGGAGGAGTTTGAGTGCTTTGCTGCTGCTTTACCTCATCTCGTGTCCATGCTGATTGCCCCTGAGGGAGACCCGGATGCACCAGACATCCCGACCCCACGCTCCTACGCAGAGGCGATGGAGGGTCTCTACTCCTCTCAGTGGCAGACAGCCATGGACGCAGAGATGGCTTCCTGGAAGTCCACAGGCACCTACGTCGACGAGGTTCCCCCACCTGGGGCGAACATCGTCAGTGGCATGTGGATTTTCAGGGTGAAGCGGCCGTCGGGTTCTCCGCCTGTCTTCAAGGCGCGTTATGTTGCTCGAGGCTTCAGTCAGCGAGAGGGAGTTGACTTCTTCCAGACCTTCTCCCCGACCCCGAAGATGACCACTCTTCGGGTTCTGCTACACGTCGCTGCTCAGCGTGACTACGAGCTCCACTCTCTTGACTTCAGCACTGCGTTCCTACAGGGCAGCCTACACGAGGAGATCTGGCTGCGCCGCCCACCTGGCTTCACTGGGTCGTTCCCTCGTGGTACCCAGTGGAGCCTCCGGCGGCCAGTCTACGGTCTCCGCCAGGCACCCCGTGAGTGGCACGACACACTGAGGACTACGCTTGCGGCTCTTGGGTTTGCTCCTTCTACTGCTGACCCGTCGCTGTTTCTACGCACCGACACCACTCTGCCGCCGTTCTACGTTCTCGTGTACGTCGACGACTTGGTCTTTGCTACTGCTGACACTGAGGCACTCGCCCACGTGAAGTCGGAGCTGCAGAAGAGACACACGTGCACAGACCTGGGTGAGCTGACAAGCTATCTTGGCTTGCGGATCACCCGGGACAGAGCACAGCGCACCATCACCTTGACTCAGTCACACATGGTGCAGCAGGTCCTTCCTTCAGCGCTTCCGCTTCACGTACTCCTCGCCTCAGCCCACTCCTCTGCCTACTGGTCACTCGCTCTCAGCTCTGCCTTCGGATGAGTCCGTAGAGCCGAGTGGCCCGTATCCAGAGCTTGTGGGCTGCCTCATGTATCTGATGACCTGCACTCGACCTGACCTTGCATACCCTCTTAGCATCCTAGCACGCTATGTCGCTCCTGGCCGTCACCGGAAGGAGCACATGGATGCCGCTAAGAGGGTGTTGCGCTACTTGTGCAGTACGTCGGGCATGGGGCTTGTGCTTGGAGGACGGCGCGACGTTGTCCTCACTGGACACTCAGACGCTTCTTGGGCTGACGACCAGGCTACGCAGCGGTCGTCTCAGGGTTACACCTTCAGCCTTGGCTCTGGTTCTGTTTCCTGGCGTTCTACACGCTCTTCCTCTGTTCTCGGCTCCAGTTGTGAGGCTGAGATCTACGCCACAGCCATGGCTGCCCAGGAGCTACGCTGGCTCACCTACTTGCTGACCGACCTTGGAGAGCGGCCTCGTTCTCCTCCAGTGCTGTACGTCGACAACAAGGCAGCCATTGCCTTGTGTCAGGAGCACAGACTAGAGCATAGAACGAAGCACATCGCTCTGCGCTACTTCCTTGCTCGAGAGCTGCAGCAGCGTGGTCAGCTTCGTCTTTCGTACGTGGCCACTCGGGCCAACACTGCTGATGTGTTCACCAAGGCGCTTCAGCCTTGTGATCATCAGCGTTTCTGTACTGTTCTAGGCCTTGTGCCTACTGTCCCTCACTTGCTCACTTCTTGACTCTGCTTGTACTGTGATCTCTATATATATACCTGCATGCTTACACTTGCTAGGTTGTGATCACTGTACCTCTTGTTATATTATCAAACTGCATGTGAACTGGTCTTGTGACCACTTGCTCGTGCTCGGAATTTGTGTGGCATCCTTGAGATCCACCCTGAGCTTGTTTTGCTTTGCTTTGACTGGTCTTGTGACCCCTTGCTCTCCCCCACTTAGCCTATGGGGGTGTGTCAAACATTATATGTTTACATTGTGTAGGCTATAGTGGGTTTAGCCTTAGGGGGTACAACATTCTAGGGTTTCCTACTTGTACTCCCAATCTTGTTAGTTCACCCACACTTGTTCATTCTAACAGGCGGCCTACGAGCGCGAGGCGGCGGCACGCGCCGGTCGACTGGCAGCTCGCGGGCTGTGCTAGGGGCCGCGCGAGGCCAGGGCGGGCTGCGCGCGGGCGGCGTCGACTGCGTGGGCGGCTAGCGGGTCGCGCGCACGAGAAAAGGGCCACGCGCGGGCGGCTAGCGGGCTACGCGCTCGAAAAACGGGCCGCGCGCGGGCGGCTAGCGGGCTGCGTACGGGCAGCGTGAGAGGGAGGGCGCGCGAGGGCGCACTAGTGAAGAGGCGCACGAGGGCGCGAGTAAGGTAGGGCGCACGAGGGCGCTTCTAGCGGAACGGTGGGCCCTTAGGAACTAGCGGTCCTAGGTTCCTAACCTAGGCTCGTAATACCATGCCAGAATGAGAGAGAAGTGATTGAACTAACAGCATTGGGAGTACAAGTAGGAAAACCTAGAATGTTGTACCCCCTAAGGCTAAACCCACTATAGCTTACAGAATAGTAACATATATAATGTTTGACATGGGAGTGGGATCGAGTTAAAAGAATCACAGGATGAAGTTGCAGCTGGAAATGGTGCAATACTGCTGGGAATGAGACGGATTCGACCCACAGGAGTTCTTCAGGAAGATGGTGGGGACGCCGGCAGGAGAAGCAGATACCTACTACAGGATGGTGTAAGAGGAAATACTGGAAGAGCTAGCGTACAGAGAGATTGAGAGCCCGACTCTGAGGTTCCTGCAGATTCTGAAGATGTAGTTTGTGGGTCAAACGAAGTCGCGGGTAGAAGAGTTCCAAGAGTTCCGTCGGAATTGAGACGAATCACTGCAGGCGTACTATAGTAAACTCAAGGAGCTATTGGTAGACCTCGAAAACAAGGACGGTCGACTGTTGGTTAGGAAATTTGTGCGAGGGCTAGACGAAGACCTGCGAGTGATTGTCCGCAACACTTTGTATGGGATTGGGGCAGATGTGACACTCAAGGAGGTGTATGGGCTGGCCAAAAGATCCAGGCATGTGCAGCGAATGATTGACATGGAGGATGCAGAGCCCAAGAACAAGACACGGATCACCTGGGCAGCAGCGGCAATGTAGTGTCACCGACGGCGGTACAGGAAAGGGGAGAAACGAGAAATTGCCATGGGTGCGGAGAGGAGGGACATATAAAGAGGGAATGTCCCAAGGCTCCAACGTGCGACAACTGCGGAAAATGGGGGAACCGCGGAGAAGAATGCGACATCAAGCCGAAACAACAAGGGGCCCCACACAGAGAAGAGCTTCAGGTGGAAATGTGGAAGCTACAGCTGCAGATGCACCGCATGCCTCAGACCGAAGTGAAGAGCAGAGCTATGATGACCATTGAGGAAGTCAGCGAGGAGGAGGAGGGGGAGAGCAATTTAGTAGAGAATTCGCCTTCATGACGTTCCCAAGAGAAAGGGACGACCTATACTTGAGACCCATACCGACGCCCACAGAGCAAGCACGCAGACCAACGAGAGGTCGCGACAGCCCAGTCTGAAAGAGAGAGAGGGCAAGAGTCGGAGATGAGAAGACACCAAAAATAGGTGCTGGTCTGTCAAGCCTCGGTGAAGATTGCGGAGAAATGAAGTACGGAGGGGGGACTATTAGTGGGCCAAGCCATCATAGATATGGGAGCCTATCATGTGCTAATAGCCCGACAACTGAAGCTGGACATGCCAAGAAGGCTAATCGAGAGAGGCATCCTGCTGATGACCGTCGAAGGAGGCGAGCCAAATTGGATGCCGCGGGCACACCGGCCAATGGAATTAGTGTTGCAGCCAAGGACGGAGAAGGAATGTTGCATAAGGGTAAAGTGTGGGGTGTCAGAGTTAGAGTACTGCGCTATTTTGGTAGGCATGGAGCTGCTGTACAGGGTGGGAGCGACGATGAGTACTTGGCATAAAAGACCGGCCTGACGAAAGACCTAGACGCTTGGAAGTGAAAGCGGTACTCATAAGAATATGAGCGTTGAACGGAGAAAAAGGTGGCTGGACAGCCAGCACAGCTGAAGGACCGAATGACAAGGGTGTGGGAGCAGGAGAGCTTACTGTGTGTGCTGGAACTATATGGCGGAATAGGGACGGGGCTAACCGCAACACTAAAGGCTGGTTGCTTCGTTCGGAAATGGGTACATGTGGAGAAGGACCCTGAAGTGAGACGCATGGCTAGATACCATGCCTTGGAGTTGCTAGAAGAGCACCCAGAGTAGATGCTGGCGACAGCCATTCCAACAGAGGACAAAGCAACAATAGATGATATCAGGGACATCACAGAAGAGCAGCTGGAGAATTGGGGTCCGGTAGACCTGCTAATCGTGGGATGGGAGTGTCAACGGTACTCCAAAGCGGGAGAAGGGAAATGAAAGGAGGGAGGGACAGAGGGGAGATGGGTGGGGCCGCAAGAGGGAAGGCAGAATGTGTGACAAACCATTGAGGTGAAACGTCTTTGTGACGAACCGCACAGCAAGGGGGCTCATTGGGATAGTCATCGGAGAACTGAAGCGTGAGTGTAAACGTTGGTGAGAGTTGATCAAATTCAGGAAGATGCGCCGAGAGGAGACGGAAACCGCGAGGAGGATGAAGCAGCCGGAGATGATAGAAGAGCAGCTGTCGAAAAAAGCAACTGCTCTCCCCCTGATGCTTCAAGTCTGCCTTGCCTGCTTTTCTCGACTTCTCTGATTGGGTTTCATCCTCCTTTCCTCACTATTACTCTGCTTTGCTGCCGCTCTTCTCTATGCTGTTGCAGCTGCTCGTCTCTCGGGCGCTGCCTCGATTGATGCTCTTTTCTGGCTTCTAATCGCTCAAAAAGTCTCACTAACCCATAATCGCTCAACAAGATGTTTGCTAGTTCTAGCCCTTGCTGCAATGCCGAACAGACAAACAAGCATCACATTCCGCCAGTGGCTTGTGTCATGTGAATATCTGTAAGGGCTTCAGCATGCTCGTTTTCTTCATAAGCCAGATGTCGGATTGCTGCTCTCATCCTCATTACCGGGCCCTGCTAGGGACTTCACACTCCATGCATACCGAAAATGAACAGCATACTACACTCCACATATTCAAGCATACATCCATTCCATGCCACCGCATTCCACACCTCATGTGTACCTTCACCAACCGCTTCTCCTTAGATACTTCTAGACTCTATTACCCACTTCTCTGTGTCATGCGCAGTACACTTCTCACCACTCCCAACCTCATATGGTACACTGGAATGCTCTACATTCAATTGAGCTTCACTTTACTACTCTCGGGCTCGAAATTACGTTGCCCGTACTCCCTGCTGCTGATGGCACGTAAATACGTGACAACGTCGGAAAAACAACTGCTCTCCCTTTGATGCTTCTTCAAGTTTGCCTTGCCTGCTTCTATCGGCTGCTCTGACTAAGTTTCATCCTCCTTTCGTCACCGATACTCTGCTTTGCTACCGCTCTTCTCTGTGCTGCTGCAGATGCGCGTCTCTTGGGCGCTGCCTCAACTAATGCTCTTCTCTGGCTTCTACTCACTTGTCCCCTCTGGAGCTGGCTATGGCTCCACTAGACTCTAGACGTCCCGCACTCCTGGTACATGCAAGTGATGTGTTGGTGACGTGCTCCCTCACCCTCCTGCCCCGCTGATTCTCCATCAGAATCCCACACCTCCACCACCCTCCAGCGTTCCTCACTAAGCCCCCTATCCAGCACATTCTGTCGAGCAATTCGGTGGTACACTTCCTGGCCCTCCTGAGGCTGGCCACCCAGAGGGATTTGAACTCCTCCCAGTCGCTGCAGGTATCGTTGAGCGTCTCGCAGTTGAGCCACGTGTTGATTCTCCAGAGTTGATGGTAGCAGTGTGCGGAGGTAATCCCCCCTGGCCTTGGCTAGGGCTGCCCACAGCTCTGGTGCTCCTGCTGTCACCACTTCTGTCAGCACCTTGGGTGCTCCCACTTGCGGAGAGAATCTACAACGGTAGTGAGCTAGACTACGAGGGTTGGCACGAACTACTAGGAGTGATCGTAGCTTTGCTTAGTTACTTAGTGCTTTGCACATTCTCAGGACAAATCGGCAAGAGTTTCCACTAGCAAAGTCGAAATTTCAGAATGATTGAACAAGCAATGACAGAAATGACTACATCATGCACCTAGCAACTCTGCAGCTAGCCTGGTCGACCGCCAGCACTGTATGGTCGACCGCTTGCCAGCGTTGCGTAGAGGAGTCGCGCCAGCACTGCAGAAAGGCGACCTGCCAACACTCCAGGTCGACGGCGTGCCAACGCTGCAGCAGAGCGGCTGTCCAGCGTTGCCCCGTAGAAGACAGCAGTGCGCACGCTCGCAGGTGTGCGCAGACGATTGGCCCGACTTGCATCGTTGTACATCCTTCGGCTGCTGTCTGCGCCTGACGAGCCACATCGACTTCGGGATACCAGCCCAAAGTCGCCTTCGTCATCGCGACCTCGACGACGTTCGCGTGCCCCCGCAGAACTCGCCGAGAAGGTTACTCAGTCGACCTGGTCGACCACCAAGTGCTCTGGTCGACTACCAGTGCCTCTGGTCGACCTCCAGGAGCCTCTGGCCGACCACAACTCCCATCGAGCTACCCCCTGGTTGTTGGACCCCTCCGTCGACCAGAACTGTCAGCTATTGTTGCCGAACTCCCCTCGTCGACCGCTGC